GCGGCTGAATCTGGACGCCAGTTCTGACTTACATACAGATTCAACTTAAGAACCCCAGGTGCCCCAAAGCCAGCTGCTGCTGAAACTGATCAGCGGCTGATTTCAGGAAGCCCGGGGCAGAGCAGCTCTGCCTCGGAATTCCTGTAGTCAGCCACTGGTCAGTTTCAACAGCGGCTGAATCTGGACGCCAGTTCCGACTTACATACAAATTCAACTTAAGAACAAACCTACAGTCCCTATCTTGTACGTAACCCGGAGACTGCCTGTAAAGGACAGCTCAGAGAAAGAATGTCTTGTGAGCACCTTCGATGAATCTAACTATTTTATTATATTGTGGGGCTTTTTTTGTTTAAAGTCAATTAAATTAGCCATTTTATTTTTAGGATTTCATGTTGCAACAAAAGTATTGAAGTGAGACTTATTTTTCTTGCTGGATTCTGCATAGCAGCAGCTGTTGTTTGGGCAGTGTTTCGAAATGAAGACAGGTATGTGTGGATTTTTGGAGAAAATTTTGAAAGGTTGTAATTCTAATGTGTAACTGTATCAATCACCCATCCAAATAGAAGATCCTGGAGCACAGTGTCCTTTTTAAATTTTTGTTGTTAATTTTTAAAAAGGGCATGAAACTTTACTAAACTTAAGCAGCTAAATGAGAAGAGCTGGTATAAAATTAAAACCAGAGCCAGTCTTAGGGATGGGCCGCGACCCCCCAAATCCTCCCCCCAAGTTTTCCTGACCCTTTTTCTCTCCCCTCCCCAATATATATATATATATTTTTTAAATCATCTGGAAACCCTGCGAGTGAGTCAGGCAGTTGCCGGGGCCACCAATTGATTAGGACTGGCCCTGATTGAAACAAAGCTATAGGATTTATGTTTTTATGGCTATTTGTGGTTACTAAATAAGGAAATTCATAGAGATGAGGAGGAATCATTCTTTAACAGCTGACTGAATACTGAAAGGGGGGGGGAAGATGCAAAAATAGGAAAATGTTGTTGTTTTTCAAAAAAGAACAATAGATCTACTACCATCCTTGATTGAAAACAAGTCTCTTGACCCTGATGACTTGAAGCCTAGTGCAGAACAACATATCAGGCTAATATTATTGTCAAAGCAGCAAACTAAAGGAGCTGGCATGCCAGTGGCTGGCACAAAATATAATTCTACTACAGTAGTCTGTGTGGCTGTGATGGCTCAAGGAGGGAGAGGAAGAGTGGGTAAGGGGTAGCAGTAGTTGTTTCATCTCTTCTCTCCCCCGCTCCCTCCATCCAGTTTCTGTGCAGCTGGTGTACTCTACAGCATGGGGATTAGAAGAATCTGACGATTTCTATCCGTGGGGCTGCTCATGTGTAAAAGGGCCACCTTGAAATAAGTCTCTGTTTTCACTTAATCCGGCTTCATAACAGATAACTTACTGAAAATAATGTTCATATTACAGGATGGCTTACCCAAGAGCTCAGTGCTACAGTTTAAAGCAAATTCTACCTATTAGTTTTTTTCCAATGGCTTAATTGAGGAAGGAAATGAGGAATTTCCTGAGTTAATGTTGGCATGAGTAAGGAAATAATCCCAGTACTTCACCTTCCAGGCACTGCAGTGATTTTGTGTACTCTATTAACCTTCCACACATTGCTGACGTGCTGGAAAAAGCTTTATAACTAAAAATAATGCACAAAATGAGTTTAGAATAAGATATTTGTGCAGAGCAATTTATCTTGCAGCTGGCATAAACGTAACACAAGTTATGTATTTTCCTCACACCAGCAAAATTACAGCTGTCCGCTGATTTCATATTCAGTGGTGGAAACATGAAATAGTGAGTGATGTGAGCGTGCAGATCTCTGCCAGTAGCAGGCTCCAGAGACAGTTTTAAAATTAGGGATGTTAGCATGTAATTGAATAGTTGTAACGGCATCAAATTTTAGCGATTACACGACTATTTGATAGTCCCTGGAGAAGGGGCTGGCAGCCAGTGTGCTCCTGATCCCATTCCTGGGGAGCCCCTGCTATCTGTAGGATTCCAGAGCAGCCTCTGTCAGTGGGAAGCTTGGATCTCATGTGGATGGGGGCTGCTGCTGCGGAGCAGCCTATCCATGGTGATCCCAAGGACCAAAAGAATTTGACTGCTGTGCACCTCCTCAGTAGAGCCTGTTCAGAAGCTGCTCTGGGGTGAGACTGCGTGGCTGGCAGCTGCCCTATCCCAGGAGCATCTAGTCAGCTACCACGTGGCCCTGGCCCCAGCCTTAGCTTCAGCCCTTCTGCAGGGCTGGAGCTAGGGCCAGGGTAGCTGTGGCGGCTGCCTAAGCTGGAGCCGGGCCATGGTACTAAAAATAGCACCATGACCCTGGCACATGGGGCAGCTGCCTGAGATGCTTTCCCACCCCATATACTGGGACTAGAGCCACGGTGCTAATTTTAGTACCATGGTTCTAGCCCCATATGCTGCAGCACCAGTCCCAGATGCTCCCAGGCAGGGGTGCATGACAGGGGGCGCTCTCATGCACTAGGACTGAAGCTGGAGCCATAGTGCTATTTTTAGTACACTGGTCCTGGCCCCAGCTGCTGCTGCTGCAGCACCACCACCACCACCACCCCCAGCTGCTGCTGCTGCTGCTACACTTCTGTGTCGTTTACATGTTGACATCCCTATTTTATGCAGTCCTGATGTGGAAAAATTGGGCTTTAAGGTGGTGAGCACCTCTTGAAAGATGCTGAATAACTCTCAACTTGACTCGATCTCAGTGGGAATTATGAACACCTGGCATTCCTCAACATCAGGCCCTTAAATGGACATTGTGTACTTGAAATCTAGTCAGGTTCTTAAAGTTCAAAAGTAGTTTCTGGTACTGCACTATTGTGTGACATCCTTTGCCTGTTATTTTTTGGCGGGGTGGGGGGGAGAGGAAAAGGGCTTGCAATCATATTTTCCCTTTTTAGATAAACTTTTTTCTCCCCCAGTTGTATGAAAGATCCACACAATTGGAAAACTTACTAAGGTTCCAATCCTGAAACTTCTTCTGAGTGAATTGATTACTGCAGTCTTACAGATTTCCACTGAAATTCAGCATGGGCACAACATCTATCCATTTCCAAGAAATTGCAGGAGTGGAGCTTAATTGCATATAAATGACGAATAAGTTCCAAGAAATTGCAGGAGTGGAGCTTAATTGCATATACATGACGAATAAGAAACTGATTATATTCAAAATTACAATAATGGAAAGAATAACAAAAAATCTAGTCTTCTGTCTTATCTGGTATGACAACAAGTAATACATAAGTATGACTCTAAATCAAGACAATGCCCTGTTAATGAACATCAATAAGTAGGAATAAAATCTACATTTCTTTGTTGTATCTGTCTGTAAGATAAGACTTTTTTGTTTTTCTTTCAACAAGACCAAACAAACCCATAGAAAATTTAGGAAAAATAAAACGTAAAAAATGATTCATTTTTATATTTGTAGGTGGGCTTGGATTTTACAAGATATCTTGGGAGTTGCTTTCTGCCTCAACTTTATTAAAACACTGAAAATGCCCAACTTTAAGGTACAGTAAACAGTTGACTTAAATAAAGGATAATGATATGCACATAGGAAACATTTTTTCATTCTTCAGTTTACCTTTGGTTACTAGTATTTCTTTCTTCAAAAATATTAAAATTAGCAAAAGGAGCAGAAGAACATTTGACTTACAAAAAAATTAGAAAATTACTGCCTTATTTCTAGTGTAACGAAAGGAGCAGAAGAACATTTGACTTACACTAGAAATAAGGCAGTAACTTTCTAATTTTTTTGTAACGGCCACCAGGCGGATCTGAACCTGGGACTTCTAAAGCTTAATATAGGCGCCTCTATAGTTTGAGCTATAATGCTATAAGAGAATAGCAAAAGGAGCAGAAGAACACTGTTTACAAAAAACTAATACTACCAATAGAAAATGTTTCTTAACTTTAATATTCTCTTGTAACATTTAACTTATGGACATTTAGTAAGTATTGATGTATTAATTACTATTATGTGGTTTTTGTAAACTTGTATTTTTCTTCTCTTTGCCAGTCATGTGTCATACTTCTAGGACTTCTTCTTTTGTATGATGTGTTTTTTGTCTTCATAACTCCATTTATCACGAAGGTAGGTCCACAGTTTTGATAAAGATTTGTGGTATGGATGCTTGCTGATGCATTTGATATTTTGTGCATTTAATTTTATGCATTTACATATTGTCTAGCCATGGCTATGATTCTAGACTATCAATCTTTTGCTCCCAAGAGTTTCTTTTAAGTAATTTCTCTGCAGTTTCTAAATCTACCAACATCTTAATTAGGGTTGCACAGGAATGTTATCTTATTAAACGTCAAAACAAAAGAATGGAAACAATCTAGGAAAAAAAGATTGATCCAAGCTAAAATGCAGCCTAGAAGTGGGGAAGAGGAGCAGTAGATATAATCTATTTGGATGTAGTAGAAATTAGGAGATGAGGCACTCTGATATAATGAGGAAAAAATTAGCCTTATGATGATCAGTAATCCTTCAAAAATGGAATCGCCTCGTATCTCTTTTTGCTACAGCCCTAAAAGCCTACTCTGTTTTTATTTGCTTGAGTTGACATTCTGATAAAGGCTGTCAGTCATACAGTGGCCTACCATTCTTCTTTGAGGATTGTCCCCGTGAGTGCTCCACCTTAGGTGCTTCAGCGCCGCTGAGCCCAGGACGGTGCGCACAGGGAGCCAGTGTGTGTTCTATACAGGCTACTGCGCATGTGTGACCCCCCCTCACTCCCCCAGTTCCTTCTCTACCACCACCGGCTGCTGCACTCTGCAAATAGTTACAGTAGCAGTTAGCCACTTAAGCTTAGTCAGTATTAAGTGGTTTGTTTAGATAGTTTAGCAGAGAGAAGGGAAAAAAACCAGACGACTGAAGACTGAAAGGGAAGCGGCAGGGAGCCGCTTCCCTCAATGATCCTCCTGTCTCAGTAGGATATGCCTGACTCGCCTGACCTAAAGTGCTGCTCCATTTGTCAAGCAGCCTTCCCTGTGTCTGACAAACAACAAGTGCCTCTGCTGTTTAGAGCAGCTTTATTTCACGAAAAGCAGCCCTCACTGTCAGCAACTGACAAGCCGCTCCAAGAGAGCGAGAGAGCTCCGGACAAAACTCCTCACCATGGGAGTTTTCCATGGGAGAGGGTCCAGAGAAGAGCAACAAGAATGATTAAAGGTCTAGAGAACATGACCTATGAAGGAAGGCTGAAAGAATTGGGTTTCTTTAGTTTAGAAAAGAGAAGATTGGGAGGGAGGGGGGACATGATAGTAGTTTTCAGGTATCTAAAAGGGTGTCATAAGGAGGAGGGAGAAAACTTGTTCATCTTGGCCTCTGAGGATAGAACAAGAATCAATAGGCTTAAACTGCAGCAAGGGAGGTTTAGGTTAGACATTTGGAAAAAATTCCTAACTCTGAGGGTGGTCAAACACTGGAATAAATTGCCATGGGAAGTTGTGGAATCTCCCATCTCTGGAGATATTTAAGAGTAGGTTAGATAAATGTCTATCAGGGATGGTGTAGACAGTATTTGGTCCTGCCATGAGGGCAGGAGACTGGACTTGATGACCTCTCAAGGTCCCTTCCAGCCCTAGTATTCTATGGGGAAAAATGAGAGCTCTTTTTGTGGAATGGCACACTCCACCCCAACCTGTCATGTATCACTGGCTATGGGGTCAGAGATCAAAGGGATGAGTAGCCTCAATGAAAGGGCGCTGACTCGCCACTCAGGAAGCAGCTGCTGAGCTGTCCCAGCCAGCTGCAAAAAAGGCTGCAGACAAGCAAAAAACAGAAGCTGCCGGCAGAGAGAGAAGCCAGGAGGCAAAACGCGCTTCCAGTGCTTCAACCACGGTACCAACGCGGGAAGAAGATAAAGCCTCCACGCTGGTACCGAATGCCCACTCAGGGCTCACAGGGGTGTGTCAAACAGCTGCCCACACCGCTGGCTTCCCCCGCTCCCCACACTGAGCTGCCAATCTTCCACAGCCGGCCCCACACACTCCTTGCCAGAGAATAGCTAATGCTGAGCAGAGCAGGCAGGCAGATATGCAAATGCCTCAAGCCTCACAGTTGCCCGGGTTTGCTCTCCCTCCCCTGCTACCACAGTTCACTAAGGCAGTAGAGCTGGCAGTGCACTCTGTCCTGGGCATGCTTCTCTTTGGCCTTGATGGGACTCCATGTAGTCTGCTGGGCACACTTACAGTTAACCCACGCAGCTCACCCACAGGTACCCTTAGTGAGGAGGAACAGGGATCATATATTAGAACACCAGCCCACTCCCACTGCAAACCTCAATCAGATATCTTACATGGGCACCTCCCACAGTGGCTCCCACTACCAGCTGTACCTAACTGGCCATAATGGGATTTCTGGGTTTTTTACAGGCAGCGACAGTGCACGCAGCCGCAGCCTCAACCAGTGACAACCCAGGCACAGACTCAGCCCATAAGTTATTCGCGTTGCATCTCTGACTCAGATGATCAGAGGAAGGTAGTTTTCCCTCCTCCCCTCCAGAGCAAGCCACTGACAAGTCTCTTGAGGACACATTAATTGCCCCAACAACCAAATGGGGTGGTGATGCTAGGGTCATTCAGGAGAGTGGTAGAGACATTGCACGTCATGTTCTGATGCCCTCCAATTCTTGAGCACAAGCTCAAGAATTTTTTACAAGCATCTCTGTAGTCAAACGATGAATGAGGCATTAATGGATTCGGCAAAGGTGGTATGCAACACCCCAGCCACAATCCCCCCAGTATAGGAGTGGACAAAAAATATCACAGCCTCCAAAGGGGCAGAATCCCTTTTCTCCCACACAACGCCAAATTTTCTGGTGGTGGAGACAGGCAGAGGAGCAGGCAAAAAACTTACTCTTAGCCCTCGATGACCGAGACTGGATGTGATTTTGGGGGGGGGGGAAGAAGGCTTATTCTTCCACAAGCCTACAGATGAGAATAGCTAATTACACAGCCCTCTTAGCAAAATACACGCATCACATCTATGATCAAATGTCACCTTTACTGAGGACATTCCGGACATCAAATCAGAACAAGTCAAAGCAAACTTCAAAGAGGGTACACTTCTAGTGTGCACAGCGCTGCAAGCTGCGCTTGACTCTGTAGACACTGCATCTAGATCTCTTCCCTCCACTGTAGTCATGAGAAGGGCATCATGGCTGCAACAGTTGGGTTTTCTGAGAGAGGTCCAGAACATAGTAGAGGACCTGCCATTTGAAGGCACAAAACTGTTTGTGGAGGGCACAAATACATCTCTCCACATGTTGAAGGACTCCAGGGCTACTCTCAGGACACTAGGAATCCAAGTACCTGTGATGAGAAGAAAGCAAAATAGGTCTTTCCAACAACAATACAGACCTACAGCTTCCAACCAGAAGCAAAGACACTTCAACAGATGCAGACAAAGACAAAACAGGCACAAGCAACCATCCAACAGTCATCCAATCAACAATCCATGGCAGCTAGACAGCAAATTTGAAGGCCAGGTTAAGGGTCTGACATCACCTGAATCTCCAGAGCAGCAAACAAAGCCATCTCCATCATTTGGCAACAGATTAGCCAACTTTTATCCATCCTGGCAGGACACCACCACTGACAAGTGGGTGTTAGAAATCATAAGAAACAGTTACTGCATTCCCTTCACATTCCTCCTCCTCCTCCCATCCCATCTCCCCCCCCCCTCCCCCCAACATTCCTCCTCCTCCTCCTCCTCCTCCCATCCCCCCCCTCCCCCCGGTCCCTGTTCAGAGATCCTACTCACAAGGCCTTTACTCTTACAAGAGGTGGAATGCCTCACGGCCATAGGAGCAATAGAGGAGGTTTCCAAACAGCACAGGGGAAGGGGTTTTTACTCCCATTATTTTCTTAAGAACCAAAAAGTCAGGGGGATGGAGACCGATACTATATCTCCGCAAACTAAACTAATATGTCCAATTCCAATGCTTCAAGATGGTTACCTTGGCTACAATTCTACCTACCCTGGAGAAAGGAGCATGAATGTCTACCCTTGACCTTCAAGATTATTTCCATATTGGAAGATTTCTGCGCTTCCTAATAAAACTGTCATTTTCAACACCAGGTACTACCTTTCCACCTCTCCACAGCTCCAAGTGTCTTCTCAAAAGTCCTGGTAGTCGTGACCGCCCACTTATCAAGGGTCTTCTCAAAAGTCCTGGCAGTCGTGACCGCCCACTTACGGAAGAACAACGTTGCAATATTCCCTTACCTCAATGACTGCCTCATAAGAGCCCACTCAACAAGAAACACAGCAAGCCTTCTCCACATCCAGAACCTGCTCTTGCAAACTGGGCCTAATACTCAATACAGCAAAGTGCAATTCTCCCCTTTGCAGACTATGGAGTTCATAGGGGCATATCTATACTGCACAAAAGCCAGGGCATTCCTACCTCACAGCAAATGGCGCTCTCTCAAACACCTCATACAGACAGCAGTCATGCCCAGGCATAAGCGCATGATCTTGCATGCAAATACTGGGACACATGTCAGCTGCCACCGTTGTGGTCCAATCTGCCAGATTACAAATGAGACCACTACAACTGTGGCTACACACAGTATAGCGATATCACCTCTACCCATTGAACAAGAACCTTGTTCATGCCCAACCAGATGATAACCTCTCACATGAAAGTACATGACAACATGTGTGCAGAAGTACCTCTTCAGCAGCCCGTGACAGTAACCACAGATGCCTCCTTCCTAAGTTGGGGAGTGCACCTGCGCCATGAACACGCACAAGGACAATGGACACTGAACGAGACTAGACAACACATAAATGTGCTGGAACTAAGGGCAGCAAGGAATGTGCCTCCACTTTCTCCCTACCATTTGAGGCAAAAGAGTACAGATAATCACCGACAACATCTCAATGATGTACTACATCAACAGACAGGGAGGAGCGCACACGTGCCAATTGTGCCAGGAACCATTGAGTCTCTGGGAATGGTGGATTCCACGGAACATACAGCTGACTGCAACATACCTGCCAGGCAAAGACAATATACTGGCAGACAAGCTAAGACAGTTTCCCTAGAACCACAAATGGGAGATGAACAAAACAATCCTCAATTGCCTCTTCAAGAAATGGGGCTTCCCAATAGTAGACCTCTTCCTGACCAGCAAGAACTCCTGATGCCCACGCTACTGCTCTAGAGCAGGCATAGGTCCAGAGTCTGAGGGATGCTTTCAGTATAGAATGGAACGCACACTTAGCATACGCGTTCCCTCCCTTCCCACTGATACAAAAAGTGATCCTCAAGATCAGATGGGACAGGGTCAAAGTGATACTTATAACACCCAACTGGCCCAGACAAACATGGTATCCATACCTGTTACAGATGAGTGTACTACTGCCATATTGCTTCCCGCCAGTACATATGTTGCTGACTCAACAAAATGGTTAAATCCCCCGTATGCACATCCACAATTACATCTGCAGGCATGGATGCTTCCTGGCTGACTCCATCAGAAAGGGCATTCACTGAACTGGTGCAGCTTGGCCTCACCAACTACAGGCGACCTGCAGCGCGAGAGAGACATGTCTAGAAACGGAAGAGGTTCCAGTCCTGGTGCGCAGCCCTGATGTATCTTACTTTTTTACAATACCTGTTAGAATTACATAGCACGGGTTTCTCCCTCAGTACCACCCATTAATCAATCAAACGGTTTATGCAGGATCTACGCAACCTATCTCCCCGCATAAGGACTCAACCCCAGCATGGGACTTAAATCTGGTACTGAAAGTGCTCATGGGAAAACCTTTTGAGATGCTTGCCACCTGCTCGCTTCTGCATCTTTTTATGAAAGTGGCATTCCTTGTTGCAATTGCATTGGCAACATGAGTAGGTGAAATAGCAGCTTGGATGGTGGACCCACCTTACACTATATTCCACGTGCTTGGAACCCACCCCAAATTCCTTCCCAAAGTACTTACTGAATTCCACAGCAACAAACTTTTATACTTCCTGCCTTCTTTCCTAAACCGCACAAGGACAATGAAGAAGCAGTTCTCCATACTTGGGACATCTGCAGGGCATTAGCGTTTTACTTACAACGCACTAAGCCCTTTAGGAAATTTTCATGGCTGTTAATCTCTTCCACACAGAGGTCACAGGGACTACCTATATTGAATGAAAGACTGTCAGAGCGGATATCTAGCTGTATCAAACTAGCATATACCATAGCCCAAAAAGAATTACCGACAACTGTACAGACACTCGACATGGACACTGGCATCCACGACATCGTGTCTATGAGCAGTCTCCACGGAAAACATTTGTAGAGCCGCAACATGGACTTCAATACACACCTTCACATGACATTACGCACTGCAGACTTTCACAGACGCCAACACAAAGTTTGACAACACAATACTCTTGGCTAACAATCTCAGCATCCAAAGCTCCCACCTCATATGAACACTGCATCGTAGTCACCTAAGGTGGAGCACCCACGGGGACAGTTCTTGAGGGAGGAGAGGTTACTCACCTTGTGCGGTAACTGGAGTTTTTCAAGATTGTTGTCACTGTGGGTGCTCCACCACTCTCCCTCCTCCCCTCTGCTTCAAGATTCAATGTCTCCAGGGCAGAGAAGAAACTGAGGCGGGGGGGAGGGGAGGGAGGGTTGCGCATGCGGCTGGTCAGGGGTACTGCTGTAAAAGATCTCCGTCCTGGGCTCAGTGGCACTGAAGCACCTAAGGTGGAGCACCCATGGGGACAACCATCTCAGATCATTCCAGTTACTGCACAAGGTGAGTAATCATTTTTTCCAAATTCTTAGTTTTATTGCTACATTCCTGTTTACATTCTGACTTTTTTTTTTTTTTTTTTTTTTTAACTGTACCCTTTCCTTTGCTTTTATACTACTATGTGTCAGTTGAGGTTCTGGTGCTTTGTGGAATGCTGATTCTTTAACATGGTTTAACATAAATTGCTTGCAAGTGTCCATCTTTCAGTGTAGAAAGAACACATACAATGGCAGAGGAGTAGATTGCTGACACATTCTTCAGCTAATTAAAAAACTTTAGCCGCTTTCATTAAAAAACAAACTCTAGTAGCCGGTTAGTGTGGTTGTGTGTTAAGTAAAGATTTATGCTTTTATTTTTAAATTAATTAATCTGGGCACTTCGCTGGCATTTGAACAGCTTCTGATTTGGATCAATGTATTCTGTTTTGTATGGGTTTGCTGAATGATGTCCTGGACAAAATAATTCTGCATATAGTAGTGCATTATGAGTATTATGATGCTGAGGTGCAAGCAACAATTCTGTGTATATTAAAGTGTTACATCATATACTTAAGTGTTAAATCACTAATGCAAAAATAACCTTAAATTTCAGAATGGGGAAAGTATAATGGTTGAAGTTGCAGCTGGTCCTTTTGGAAACAGTGAAAAGGTATGAATAATAATTTTTCTGTCATATGAATATAATATGAATACATATGTGCAATATATTACACTAACTGAATTAGATACAGAAAGTCAGTAATTCAAGTAGCTTTTAGGTATAATTTTCTCACAAAATATAGCCAGCTTTTACTACTTTTGTTAAAGTATTAAATACCTGTTGACTTGGGTTTGATCCTAGAATGATGGAATCTTGGTGGAAGGCCCTCCTGAACGCTCAGC